TAAACTGTTAAAGACAAAAAAAAAAAAAGAGGGGAAAAAACTGTGTTGTTATAGAACTTCTAGATGGTAGCATAGTCAAGACAACTACAAGACTGTACTACAGACTGTTCTACACTTGGGAAGAAAACTATAAATCACAGGGTAACCTCAAAGAAAAATGACAAACCTTCACATCATAATAAAAAAGAGGACCAGCATAAATATTCAGCAAATACTAAAACAATAGCAATGAAGGAAGTGATAACATGATTCATAAATAAAACAAGCTCAACATAGAAAATTATATGGAACAAAGAATTGACACAATGAAAAAGCTCATGACAAAAATGACAGCAACAAATTCATATTTGCTGATAATTACTTATCTGGCAAGGGACTTAACTGCAAGATTGGTGGAAAACTTCAGTGCCTCAACACCAAAGAATTAACAATCCAATTGAAAAATGGGCAGAAGACAGGAATAGACACTTCACCAAGGAGGATATTCACGTGGTCAGCTAATACATGAAGAGATGCTCACAATCATTCGCCATCATCAGACAGATGTAAATCAAAACAACAATGAGATATACCGTCTCATCCCAGCACTGATGGCAAGGTTCAATGAGACAGAAAATAATAAATGTTGGTGGGGATGTGGAGAGATTGGAACTCTCATACACTGGTTGTGTGACTGTGAAGTGACATAACCACTGTGGAAAGCAATATGGCGATTCCTTAGAAAGTTGGAATTAGAGATCCCATTTGACCCAGCAATCCCATTACTAGGTATATATCCTAGAGAGGTGAGAGCCAGGATAGGAACAGATACATACATGCTTATGTTCATAGCAGCACTATTTACAGTAGCAAAAAGATGGAAACAATCTACATGCCCATCAGCGGAAGAGTGGATGACCAAACTATGGTACATACACATACTGGAATGCTATGCGGCACTAAAGAATAATGTAGAGACTGCAAAACACTGCATAATATGGATGAAGTTGGAGGACATTATGCTGAGTGAAAAAAAGTCAATCACAGAAGGTTCGTTGTTTGGAGGGTCAAGGAAAGGTTTACATACGGAGGGAAACTTTCTTTGTTGGTTGCCAGGGGTGGGAGGGGAGGGGAGGGAACACTGCAA